GAAGATCCGCGGCTCTGACTCCGGTTTGGCCGTGTGCCTTCTTTGTTTTTTCATAGGCTTGGCTGAGCTCCTTGATTTTCACACGGCACTGATCTGAGTCCCTATTGTGGCCTCTCTCCATCATGCCCTCGGAGATTTTTTCAAAAGTTTTGGCATTTTGTCTTTTCGAATGAAGTTCTGCTAGCACTGAATCCTCTCCCCATATAGCGATCAGATCCAGTACCTCCCGTACGGTCCATGCTGGTGCTCTTTTTCGATTATCGGCCTGCATGGTTACCTGTGCTGATAAGCTATCTGTGGTCCCCTGTGCTCTCCATGCTGGGCAAACAGGAAATAAAATTCAAATGTTTGCGGGGCTTTTGTTGTCTACCTGGCCAGTGCATCCGAGTTCAGATTGCTGTCCAGAGCGGTCACAATGGTGCACTGTGGGATAACTCCCGGAGGCCAATACCATCGAATTGCGGCCACACTAAACCTAATTCGAAATGACAGTATTGATTTTGGCGCTACTCCGCTCGTTGGGGTGGAGTACAGAAATCGATTTTATGAGCCCTTTATTTCGAAATAAATGGCTTTGTTGTGTGGACGGGTGCAGGGTTAATTCGATTTAACACTGCTAAATCCGAATTAAAGTCATAGTGTAGACCAGGCCTAAGTCCACAGAGAGAGACTAAGTCCAAGATCACACAGGAAGTCTGTAGCAGAGTCTAAGGTTAACACCCTAAATACTGGACCATCCTTCCTCTCAGGGGCTTCTCCCCTAAATGTGGCATGACTTTCAAATGTACTAATTTTAGGCACCAATCTATTACTGCATTTCTATATATACACATGATACTGCCATACATGTGATCAACTGCAGCAACTAGGCAGGAGACAGTGCAGAGGGGCCTCCTGAGAGACACACATACCAAGTGAGCCTGGCTTGGAAACCTGCAAGCTTCTATTTGCTAGAATAGAGACCAGACTGGAGAGGGAACCCTAGGCACTAGACATGAAGAGCCCTGATTCTTGACTGGACTCCCCCATGGACTCAAACAACAACCACTATTTTTCACCTTGAACTGTCACTGTTTAAATCTTTGTACCACGGTATTTGCAATCAGGGCCAGCTCCAGGCACCAGCCGAGCAAGCTGGTGCTTGGGGCGGCAGCTTGTAGCAGGCGGCATTCCGCCTAATCCTAGGGCGGCACGGACACTTTTTTTTTTTTGGTTGGTGTTCCGCTACGGCTGCCCTGTAGGGGGCAGCAGCGCAGAGAACAGGAGCGCCCTGCAGCAAGCCCGGCAGGGCAGCCCGCGTCCTTCCCTCCCAGCCGACCGGAGCAGCGCAGAGCCCTCCCGGCAGGCGGCGTGACTGCGTGGCCGCCCCCCTTCCTCTCTCTCTCCCCCCCGCTCCCTCCCCCTCCCCCCGATAGCCGGGGCACATCTGCAGCACAGGGAATCCCCCTGCACCCTGGCTCCGGCTGCACCGCAGGTTTTTTATTTTTTTGCTTCGCCATTCTGGCCGCCCCGTTTTTTCTTTTGCTTGGGGCGGCCAAAAAGCCAGAGCCGGCCCTGTTTGCAATCTTTCCCTTTCCGGCCAGCCCTAGTAAAATACCCTTTCCCTTAGCCCTGTATCTGAGTGGTTATGGGATCCACCAGGACTGGATCCTACAACAAGGCTTAAATGCCAAAGCACCTACAGTGCTTGCCTGCGGGTGATGGTACACCTGGCACACTACCGGTATCTTAGGGGTTTGGTGTACTCTAGCACAAAGCAGTATAATAATTCCAAGAGAAATGGGAGCTGCCTCTTTGAGAATGCAGTAAGGTGAGCTCTTAAAAGAAGATCTTATCAAGCAAACATTTGGATTTCCAGAATAAACAAAGTTCTCATTGCAAAGCTGAGTTTTGTGGTTAAGAGTGTAACACATACAGTAAAACCTCAGAGTTACAAGTACCTCAGGAATGGAAGTTGTTCAGAACTCTGAAATGTTCGTAACTCTGAACAAAATGTTGTGGTTGTTCTTTCAAAGGTTTACAGCTGAACATTGACTTAATACAGCTTTGAAACTTTACTATGCAGAAGAAAAATGTGTTTTTTAACCATTTTAATTTAAATGAAACAAGCGCAGAAACAGTTTCCTTACCTTGTCAAATTTTTTTTAAACTTTCCCTTTATTTTTTTTACATTTTACAGCTTACATTTAACACAGTACTGGTACTGTAGTGGATTTTTTTTTTTTGTCTCTGCTGCTGCCTGATTGCGTACTTCTGGATCCAAATGAGGCATGTGGTTGATCATCAATTCATAACTCGGGTGTTCATAACTCTGGTGTTCATACTGTACCTCTCCCTCCACCCTGTAGCAGCTCCCCTGGCATCCTGCCATCTCGGTGTAGTGGAACTGCATAGTTCTTTTGATAAGGAAGTTTCAGCATTTGCAGAGACACTGTATCCAAGTAAAGTAAATCCAGTAAACCCAAATTTAAATCACTGAGGTTACTCTGAATTTACACAGGTGTAAATGAGAGTAGAATTTGGCCCTTAAAACATTCTCTGATATTTCACAGTTACCACGATGATGAGCATCGTGTAAGGACATAGGCAAAAAGAAGAGATCTAAAACTGGAATACCAATCTTAGGATGCAGTAAAAGAATTTACAATACAGAGCTTTACATTCATCTCTAATTCTTACCTTGCTTTTTTCAAAATGTAGTAGGTATTTGAAAAAGTTGACAGTTTCACAACTAACCTTGGATGAGCTAATCTTTGACCAGCATATCCAGAGGAGGCAGCCACGTTTCCAATAACTACTGCTGTCAATGTTCTTCATCTCAGTCAACTCACTGGAATCTCACACTTATACTTTTAATTTCTGAAAATCTGCAACTGAGTGGTTTATAATGGTTACCTGTCACTAGTAATTTTTCAGAAATTGAAAGTATATGTGTGAGACTCGTCTACTTCTCCTCTCTGCGTTAGCTTATTTGACATTGTTTAGCTTGTTCTCATAGGGATATTTGAACTTTGCCACATATGCACCATCATAAGTAACTATGGAGTCAGGTTGATTAGCAGGAGGGAGGAAAAAAGTCTTTCAAACTTTTGATTAATACAAGCACTATTTAAACAACTTGATCATTTCTTCTTACTTTACTTGAATAAACAGGTACAACTCTGCTCTCTAGAGCAGCACATCACCAAAATACAGTATCATATCCTGAAATCATATGGGGTATTGTGTGAAATAATTACTTTGGATCTGTAATTCTTATGGTCCAAATCCCAAGAAGAACTGATTATTGAATTCCATTAACTTCAATGGGGAGTTGCAGCAGTTCAGCAGATGCTATGCACTTATTAGGATTTGGTCTGATATTAATACTCATGGTGAGAAACTGGTCAGACCAGATGATCATAATAATCCTTTCTGACTTCAAAAATCTGTGAAAGTACTCATCTGGACAATTCCATTCACTTTGGTGAGACTAAATGTATGAGGAATTGTTCATCAACAGGAGTGAAAAGCTCACAATCTGGCCCATAAAAAGATAGATGAGGGACTGGGATATCTGGACTCCATCATTTACAGATGTTTCAGTCTCATTTCTGGAAAACAATTACTGCACATTTTATGGTTGCAGAAATTTTATCTTTTGTCTGAATTTCCTATAATTGTTGCCAAATGAAAATTCTACCACTTTTGTACTGATGCTTATTTGAAAGGTATTTTCTCACTTACTTATGCATACCTACAAGTGGTCTTCATTTGTGATTTTGATTGGTTTCCACCTACATAAACCCTTTAATGATTTCCCACGATTATTTGTAATTGAGTTGGCATACGGCCAGATAATAAAAATATTAATCAGTTCCATGTCTAGAAATTTCTTGCAAATGTTTGTTTAGGGTTTTTATTTTAAAAAAAATATATAGGTAGGGTGACCAGATGTCCTGATAAAATCAGGACTGTCCCGATATTTAACCCTTTGTCCCACATCCCAATCAATGTACGATCGGGACGCCACTTGTCCCGATATTCAGGTAAGGAGGCAAGCGGGAGGGAGGTGCTGACCCCGTGGGTGCTCCAGGGCTGAGCACTCACAGGAAAAAACTGCAGCCAAGCTCCCCGCTCCTCGCCTCCTTCTCCCCCCAGCGCGCCACGTCCCCGCTCCTCCCCCCCTCCAATGCTTCCCACCGCCTAACAGCTGTTTGGCAGCGCTTAGCACTTTCCAGGAGGGAGGGGGGAGGAGCGGGTACGCGGCACGCTCAGGGGAGGAGGCGGGAAAGAAGCAGGGCAAGGGTGGGGATTTGGGTGAAGGGGGTGGAATGGGGGCGGCACGAGGGCGGTACAGGGGCGGGAAGAGGCAGGGGGTGGATGAACACCCACCCGGGGGGGTGAAGCGGTGAGCGGCAGACGAGTGAGCGGGTGGGGAGGCGAGCAGTGGGTGGGGGATTGAAGAGGGACGCAGCAAGCCAGTGGCAGGCCGGGGGATGAGGAAAGGCGTGGTGGGGGGCCAAGTGGGGAGGGGGCAGGACCTGGGTGGACTGTGGGTGGGGCTGATGGCACCCCAATGTGTCCCGATATTTTACTGTGGTGATCTGGTCACCCTATATATAGGGTGTGCAAACCCTCACATTCAGCATCATGTGACATGAGAGTCAAGGATGAAGATATTATCTAAAGATGTTACAAAATTCTACACCTTCTAAAGTACTCAAACATTGGAAATAAGTCAGGAAATGAACAGTTAAAGGATCAAGCTAGCCCCTTACTGCCATGTATCTTGATTACCCTATGGGACTCAGGGCAGGTCACCACTTAAAAAGTTGCTATAACACTTTAGTGAAGATGCTCCTACGGGAACAGGACAGGAGAGCTTCTCCCATCAGTGTAGTTAAGCCACTTCCGTTTTCAGGCCGCTGAGCAACATAGTTTTACTGAAGTGTGTAGTGTAGACCAGCCCTCAGTGTTATTCAAAGGAAAGCATCCCGCAGAACAGATTGCAGTCTTGTCAACCCACCGTTTCATCAAAAGTCTCATGTGATTTTCTGAAAGCCTCAGCAGCTGGAATCAAGAGTTTGCAGGTGAAGCTCAGCACTATTTAATAAATAATAATAATAAAATTTAGCCATTGTGGTGGCAGAGAAAAGGTTGAAAATGCAAGGTGAGTGTACCCTAAGGATTCAGAAACCAGAAAGCAACCGTGCATATATTTCTCCTTTTAATTCCACAATTTTTAAACCAGGCTCTTGATTTTGGGACCTGCATAAGGATTTTTAAGCACCTGAGGTTCCCAATATTGCAGGTGGAAGTTGAAAACTGCAGGACTGACTCTCCTAGACTAAATCCGCCCCTGTATCCAACTTTCCAGCCGTCTGTCTTGCATTCTCCGCATTAGTATTTTGTACCTCCCCCCAGTGGAGTGGATGTCTGTCCGTCTGTCCCATTTCGAACGTGCCCAGCTCGCCAGGCCAGCCTCCCGCAGGGCCCCGCCAGGAGCGTCAGCAGAGCTCGCGGCTCCCCCTGCAGAGCGCCGGGCCCGCCTTCCCGGGCCGGAGGCGGGTCCCACGGCCCCGCTCCTCCCCGCTCGCTGCGCCGTATAAACGCGCCGCTCGTCACCCCCTGGCCCGGGCCCGACGCTGCGGGTTTCGTGGCACTGCTGAGCCTCAGGGCCGTGCGGGGGAGATCCCGGGCCTCCCCGCAGCCGCCGCGGCCATGGTGCTGAACCCGGTGATCGGGAAGCTGGTCAGCAAGAGGGTGGTGCTGGCCAGCGCCTCCCCCCGCCGGCAGGAGATCCTCACCAACGTGGTGAGTCCGGGGCAGCGCCGCCAGGGCCTCCTGCACTTAGTGGGCAATAGAGGGGTCAGGTCACTCGGAGTATGTCTACACTGCAAAGTCTGCACTGCCACCGGTGCTGGCGCTGGGCAGGGGCTGTTTCATTGCCTGGGGCTGCACCCTGTGAGGTGGGAGAGTGCTAGAGCTGCAGCCTGGAAGTCTCCACAGCAATTGACCAGCCCCTGTCAGCTGGCAGCACCGCCCAGTCCCTGTTGTCTAATTGCGGTGGAGACATACACTTTCCAATGCTCTTACAAGGATGCCCAGCCCTGCTTTGCCTTCGCTCCCACATCGCTCCCTGGAAATGCTCCTGCAGCAGCTGGGCTCCTTCGTGCGCAAACAGGAGAGTAGTTTAACAGTCTGCCAAGTGGCCATTATTCCCCTCTTCCCTGTTGTTGCCGTCTTGACATTTTTAAAGCTGAAAGACCTGTGTTTCTGGGTTGATATGTGACCAGAAGAACAATATTTTTAAAATAAATTGCACTTGAGCAGAGTCTTGGGGCAGGAGGCAGGTTATGCAACTGGAAAGTAGCCTGCTGGTGTGGCTGTGGCAAGAAAGCTGAACAAAATGAAGTTCTTAGGAACATACATACCATTGGGTGATGCCAATTCCCACAGATAGGAGGTGAAACTTGTTGGGTCAGGCTATGGGGTGGTCTCAATACATGCAACAAAGGGCAGAGGATGAGGGCTGTTTGGGGTAGGGAATGCAGCTAAAATAGTAACATGTTTTCTCTTGTTACTGTTGTCAGCTGTCTGTGAAAGGGGTGCATAAGAATAGAATACACTGTCCCAATGTCTTAGCTGGTGAATTTACAGTTTATATCAGTAGAAGATGTGGCCCTGTTTATTGGTTTTGCATTGCTGCCCTCCAGGACTTTTGGAAAACCCCCATCAAGTGTTAATGTCAGTCATACAGTATTATAGTATCAATGGGACTTATATCTTTTTATTTTTACACTTCATCTAAAGAATTGTGTTGCACACATTTTGATCAATACTTCACATTAACGGTGATGGGTAGAAGTAAAAACAGACAAACAATGCTAGAGTTTTATTTGCGGGAGGTTGTTTGCAGTAGATCACCTCACATAATCCCAAAAAAACATTTTCACTTATGCTTTTTTTCAGCCACACTTTCTTCTCCCCTATCCAAACATACCATAGATTGTGTCTCAGGGTGAAATCCTGTTTTCATTGAAGTCAATGGTGAAACAAGATTGAACCTGTAGTTTGGAGGCAGGAATTAGGGGGAAAAATCCAGAAAGCTAAACAGGTTGCAGTGACAAAACTAATATGTGTATTTCTGGCTACATGTGAATGTTTACATTTAAGCATACATTTGATAGTTGTGTTTCAGTTAAATGTTGTATAGCAAAACTCATTCTTACACAGATTTATCCACAGTGCAGCACAAGTAAATGCCAAGATTATATCTACTGAAGACTTCACTGCACAGATCTAATTTACATGGGATGCACACAGATACTACAATGATGGGTGTTATAGAAAACCCTAAGGAAGAGAGAGGTCATGCATTTGTGATTAGGTTGTTACATGCATAGCTGACAAGAGTAAAATGATTATAAGTACTATAAGTGTAAAACTTTTGTTTGTCATAGATAGATTTTTCTTGCCTTTTATCTTGAGATGTTTGTATATTAAGAGTAAATTCAAAACAATTCAATGCAACAGGGTTTTTGCTTCTCAGATGAAACGCACACAATGGGAATTTAGTTATTTGTTTTTGTTTTAATTTTGATTGCATACTGCTGATGGAATGAGTGAAGTTTGCAATGTTTGCACTAGATTGTTATGTTTGCAATAGATTTGTAGCTCTACAGTTTGTTTATATGTTGTTACCAATATCTATCTTTTTCTTCCTCTCTTGAAGACACTTGGCATTTTATAGTAGGTTAATTTTTAAAAATAAATAACTAGATAGTTTTCACAGATATTTCTCAGATTAGCTTCCACTCTATTCTAATTTACTATTTGCATGATTAAATATAATTTGTACTATAGAGGAAATGCGACATAAGAATAATAAAAAAGAGCAAAATTCACTTAATCTGTTGCTTTTACAGGTTCCTTCCAAAACACTTGATGATGCTCACTACATTGCCTTTCCTTTCTATATTGTAGGGTCTCCGATTTGAGGTAGTTCCATCCTGGTTTAAAGAGACACTTGAGAAGTCCTCTTTTGCAGCCCCTCATGAGTATGCCATAGAAACAGCAAAGCAGAAGGCACTTGAAGTGGCAAATAGAATGCATCTAGTGAGTCTGTCAGCTATTTCAATAGTCAAATTTTGTGTTTGTGTGGTATGTGTTATTCTCACTATTTATTACTGTTATGTGCACTTGTAAAGGTAGTAAGTATACAGGTGCATTTACATCCTTTAAGCAAACAGACACATTTCCCCCTGTGTTACTATTGTGGCAACTACCTGTTGAAATGGGCTAGACTTGCTAAAAGGAACTCCAGTGCCTTCAGTTTGTGAAAGGCCAAAACAGTGATTACAGACAGCTCTGACAGCAGGCAGAAGCTCTAAATTGAGGTATAATCGCCAAGTCCTGCCAACAGCCAACTATTCAAATTGAGTCTGAGATAGTTAGACTTTGTCCAGGATTTTCAGGCACGTGGTGAGCAGAGATGCAATTCTATTTAGGTCCTATGAGGAGATACAGTACTGACCGTCATCGGCATGCCGATGATACTGTAACTAGGGTTACCATATTTCAATAGTGCAAAAAGAGGACACTCCACGGGACCCCGCCCCAACTCCGCCCCTTTCCCACCCCAACTCTGCCCCTGAGCACCCCACATTCCCCCTCCTCCCTCCCACCCCCCGGCTGCTGCTGTGCTGGGGAAGTTGCTTTGGCCCCCGCCGCGGTGGAGAGCGGCGGGAACCTGGAAAGTTGGAGTCCGGGGAGGAGGCGGGGCCCTTACCATGCCTCCCTATTTTCCCGGACATGTTCGGCTTTTTGAAAATTCCTCCCGGACGGGGATTTGAGGACCAAAAAGCTGGACATGTCTGGGAAAATCCGAACATATGGTGACCCTACCTCTGACACGCACCTCTCCATACCTGTCCCAGGGCCTTCCTTTAAAGGGGCATCCCCATATCAGCAAGGTCTACTTAGAAAAGATAATATTTACTCCCTTGCGTGGCTGAGCTGGGCTGTGACAATCCAACCCATCATGAGTACTATGAGAAATGGGGCACAACAGTAACCAAGGCAGTGTCATTTCAGGGACTGTATGGGCCTCGGAGTTCAAACAAACAAGCTATATAAAGTCCTTTTCTTTACTGGGAAACCAAATGGAAGTTTTTCTAGAAGGGTATTTTTAGAAATCTCAGTATAATGACAAATTTCAAGCTCCATTAAATAACTTTTTTGTGAAATGATGCAGAGCACAATTAGTACAGAGACATGAATAGTGAGAGATCCAAGCTGGTTTGCCTGATATGGTGTAAAAATGTGTGTAAGTTTGATATAGAAGGCCTTGCCAAACTAATTATCGAAGCATATGCAACCATCATTGTAGACAGTGACTTGTTTATACTGCTCTATATACTATACCAGTGTTTCTCAATCTGGGAGTCGTGATTTATTTGATAATTTATATGGTAAAAATGAGAAAATAAGCAATTTTTCAGTAATACTGTGCTGTGATACTTGTATTTTTATGTCTGATTTTGTAAGCAAGCGTTTTTTAAGTGAGGGGTACTCAAGACAAATCAGCCTCCTGAAGGAGGTACAGTAGTCTGGAAACATTGACAACCACTGCTCTAATTGACCTGGATCAAGAATGTCTTTGTTTTACTTTCTATTTCTATAGTAAGGCTATTGGGATATCAGCATTAAAATACAGTCTCAGAAGGATTTTTTGAATCATGTTTTTAAGAAATTTCATAAATGGACCACTGCACTTCCCCCAAGTTAATGAGTCTGATGTTTCATTTTTTAAGACCAAAGGTCCCTGCATCTTCCAAGTATTAGAGTGAGTTGTTCTCCAGAAACCCAAAGGTGGAAGTTCATTAGCAATCTATTTGTGTGTAATACATTTTATAGTAACAAATAAAAAGGAAGTCACAACTAGTCTAGTCCAATTTGCTTCCTGCCCTCTAGTCAGGGACATATCTCCCTGCTGTCAACAGTTCTCTCTGGAAACAGCAAAAGAAAGATCCCAGATTAATCTATAAAACTGAAAAGGGTATTCCCAGAAACACTGAGAAAATGAATGCCAAGGGCTTTTGTTATACTTTACCAGGGAGATCAGGAGTGAATGCACCAAACCGAAAACTCACTGCTGCGGAAATAAACACTCAGGGCTAGACTCTGCTTGGAGACAGCAGAATCTGCTACCATTTGCTGCTCTGAGGTGTACAGTGCCTCACAGAGCTGGGGAAAGGAGGCAAGACCGTGGCTGGCAGTGCAGGAGAGAGTAAGGTGCATCGCTGGCCTCCCTTCTGCGCTGCTATGGGGCCGAGCACTCCCCTCGCCGGGCCCCCCAGGCGGGAGGTGAGGTGACACCCCCCACGTGCCCCAGGCCAAGCCGCGGTGGGGTCCCTGTCCCTTTAAGAGGGGGGCTGGGCTGAGCCAAGCCGGCGGGGGTTGGCTCTGCTCCTGGCTGCAGGCTGATGCCGGAGCCTGGGCTGAGAGCCAGGCTCGTCTCCTGCACCAGCTCCAGGCAAGGCTTTCC